GCATCCCGGAATCGGTGTTCAAAGGGGCGTTCCTCAACAGATTACGAGAGGACATCAGGGCGGAGGTAAAATTACATAGGCCCATTAACTTGCAAGAAGTTATGGACCTAGCATCCCGGAATCGGTGTTCAAAGGGGCGTTCCTCAACAGATTACGAGAGGACATCAGGGCGGAGGTAAAATTACATAGGCCCATTAACTTGCAAGAAGTTATGGACCTAGCCCAACAAGGCATCCCGGAATCGGTGTTCAAAGGGGCGTTCCTCAACAGATTACGAGAAGACATCAGGGCGGAGGTAAAATTACATAGGCCCATTAACTTGCAAGAAGTTATGGACCTGGCCCAACAAATTGAGGCCCGGGATGTGCAGTGGAGAGGCTGGGCGAGGGAGGCAAGGGGAATTACTTGGGCCGGCCCAACTCAGGGTGGCAGACCTCCAGCTCCTCTCTAGGCCCAATAGAGAGCCCCCTTCGATCTAATACTTACAGGGATGGTTCCATGACATCCAAAGGGCGCACGTGGCCTTCTTCTTCGTCTCAACATGTTTCGAGTGGGGAATCCAAGTTCCGCCGCCTATCTGATGTTGACAATGTGTCCATAAAGTAGGATGTAATTTGTTATTTATGAAATGGCAAATATCGGACATCATTGTTTCGCTGACGTTTGTAAATAAAATAAAGTCATGTTTTAATTCATACTCAAGAGTGTTAGTAATATTGCTTAGTCCATAGACTGTTATCAACGAAAGAAGAGTCAGGGAATTCCTGCCGGACAAGCTCTTCTGATATAGTTTAAAATTGATATTCACAGTCTTAGGGTCGATTGGGCAATCGAATCCGATTATGACTGTTAGATCGAACCATGTGATGCTGGTCTCGGGGCATGGGAGTTGGACTCTGTGGTTGATCTAGACATGTTCACAACATGTTGAATAGACCATGTAACTAATTAGGTTAGAGCAAAAACCGTTTACTGAACTCTAAACCAAATTATTACAACCTAAGTATGTTAGCCCTCCACTGAAGTTTGTCTATTCCAGGAAGCACAAGGGTATGGGGAGTGAGAATAGAGTAAGTGATAGGGGGGAAAATGTAATTTCTAGAAACTAAGAGCTGACGTGGAGAAATATGTTAGAAGAATTGTTAGGAGTCAGGGGATTTAAGGGCGTAAGGGGACCTTGGGAAGGGTATTCAGTTATTTTTGAGTGCCTTGGCATTGGGAGGGTGGGACTTCGAAATTCCTAAGCCTGCCTCTGCCATTTTCGTTATTTTCTTTCCAGTGTTAGCTTGTGCCTAGCTATGACCACCGGCTATGGTGGTTAGATAATAAATAAAAGGAACTGACGCCCCTTTTGCGTTGTTATTTGCCATCCTTCTCTACTCTTATGTGGTTTTTTTCTCTCTAACACGCAGGTTCCTAACAGAGTACAAGGGAGGCCCCATGGTGGTGACAACCAACAATTCATGGTTGCCAATTGCTCACATTGGTAACACAACCATCCTACCGCGTTTCAGTTCCAATCAGGTGCCACTCCAAGACGTCTACCATGTACCAGGTATGAAGAAGAACCTCTTGTCAATAGCTCAATTAACATCATCAGGTTACTATGTTCTATTCGGCCCACACGATGCCAAAGTCTATCAAGATCTCAAAATTTCTGGAACACCGATGATGGAAGGACGTCGATTGGAGTCTGTCTACGTAATGTCAACTGAATCTGCTTACGTAGACGCGACTCGAAGGAATGAGATAGCTTATTTGTGGCATGGTTGGGACACGTTGGCTACCACAAGTTAAAGGTGATGATGCAAAAGGCAATGTTGAAGGGGCTTCCTTAACCTAAAGTTAGAGCCGACACCGTCTGTGCGGGATGCTAGTATGGAAAAGCACACCAACTTCCATATGAAGAGTCAAAGTTCAGAGCAAAAGTCCCTTGGGAGCTTGTGCACTCCAACGTGTTTGGACGTGTCAAGCAACCATCAATTAGCGAAATGCACTACACGATCACATTCATCGACGACTTCTCGAGGTACGTGTGGGTTTTCTTTATGAAAGTAAAATCTGACGCTTTTGAGAAATTCAAGGAGTTCAAAGAGCTAGTAGAAGGAGAAGTCGGTAAGAAGATCCAGTGCTTGCGCACAGACAACGTTGGGGAGTACACTTCAGATGAGTTTTGTGAGTATCTACGAAGCCACAACATATGCTATCAGTTCACATGTGCAAACACGCCCCAACAAAATGGAGTATCTGAGAGAGAATCGACACCTTGCAAATGCATGTCGAAGCATGCTACACGCAAAGATTGTCCCAGGCAGGTTTTGGGCCAAAGGTATAAAGACTACAACTCATGTCATCAACAGGCTTCCTCAACCAAGGCTTGGGTTCGTCTCACCCTTTGAGAAACTGTGGGGCATAAAGCCACAATAAGTCACTTTCGAGTATTCGGTTGCATATGTTATTGATTTGTGTCGAGTCATTTAGGCACCCAGTTTGATAAGAAGGCTCTCGGTGTATCTTTGTGGGCTACGATAGTCAGAGAAAAAGGTGGAGATGTTGCTACACATCATGTAGTGTGGCGTTTGATGAAGCATCTTCGCGGTGGTCACCACAGAAGGAGGAGCTTCCTGATTAGAAAGAAATCAAGGATAAGCTGCAACAGAAGATGGGAGAGGAAATCGGTGAGGTATGACCAACTCCTGAGACGACTAGTGACGAACCTAACAATGAAGACGACGGCGACACAGAGGTAAATGAGTCCCTGGTGAAACGGTGTTCATCAAAGGCATGTGGAAGAGTCCGATCCAAGTCAAGGAACAACAACTCCACAATCACAGCTTAGAAGATTGACTATAGTAAGAAAGTTGAATCCCAAATATACTAATGTAACAGTGGTGGAGGAGACAAACTTGAAAGAGTCAACGACATATGAAGAAGCGTCTCATAATCCTAGATGAATGGCAGCCAGGCAAGAAGAAATTACCGCTCTGGAGCATAATCAAACTTGTGACTTAGTACCAAAGCCAAGGGATGTGAAGCCCATTTCTTGTAAATGGGTATACAAGGTTAAGACTCGCCCTGATGAATCGGTCGAGAGATACAAGGTTCGGTTAGTTGCACGTGGCTTCTCTCAGCAGTTTGGACTAGACTACAATGAAACATTTAGTCCAGTGGCGAAGCTTTCTACCGTACGAGTTTTTTTGGCCCTTGCAGCTAGTAAAGATTGGAAGTTCTGGCAGATGGATGTGAAAAATGCCTTCCTACACGGGGAGCTAGATCGTGAGATCTACATGATTCAACCGAAAGGATTTGAGAGCGGAATCTATCCTAACTACGTCTGCAAGTTAAGAAAGGCACTTTATGGATGGAAGCAAGCTCCAAGGGCATGGTACGGTAAGAGTCATACTCTTAACACAAAGTGGCTATTTAATGGCACATGTAGATTCTAGCTTGTTCGTTAAAGCTAGAGAAGGAAAATTAGCAGATGTGCGGTGTACATTGGTTGGCTACTATGATGCTGATTATTAGCAGATGTGCGGTGTACATTGGTTGGCTACTATGATGCTGATTACGCTGGAGATCATGATATGTGGTGATCGACTACGGGGTACATTTTCAAACTTGGCTCAGCAACAATATGCTAGAGTAGCAAAAGACAACCAACGGTATCTTTATCGACTACTAAAGCAGAATAGCAGGAGTTGTGGCAGCCCAAGATTGTACGTGGTTGATACAATTACTTAAGGATAAAGTGCCATTGTTCTATGACAATTTTTCTGCAATTCGTCTAGCGGAGAACCTAATATTCCATGCAAGGACCAAGCACGTGGAAGTACATTATCACTTCCTCAGGAAAAAAGTATTACAAGAGGAGCTAGAGATGTGCCATGTGAAAGCAGATGATCAAGTGGCGGACTTGCGTACTAAAGGGCTCAATTCTACGAGGTTTCAGAAACTCAGGGATCAACTAAACATGAATGCAAGAATAATGATGGGAGTCGGTGCTGAGGGGGAGTGTTTAGAGTCATCACCAACTCATGGAATTCTCTAGGAAGCTCTAGATTAATCTAGAGACCTTATCCAATTTGTGCTAGAAACCTTATCTAAACATATTCTAGAAGTATCTTCAAGGCTGCAAATAGAAACTTCAAGAAACACTTGCAAAGTTGGCATTCCTTGCCGACATACTAGAAGGTTCCCAAATCAAGTAAGCAACCAACTTAGTGAGCATATAGCAAGGTTTTGCGTACTCGGTGGAGGTATGTCCAAAAGAGTGAATGTCCTAAGTGAGTGATATGTGTGAGTTAGTGGAGTTACAAAGTGTGTGAGTGCTATTAAGTGTAGTGTCGTTTGTTAGAGTGCTAGTGTAACAGCGAGTGTATTTTGTGGTCTTAATGTTTAAGGTGGTGTTGTAATTACTTTTTCAATGTAATAAAAGTAATTGCAGTGTTGTGTTGTGTTTAACAGAACAAAAATTATAAAATAACTGATGCCCTCACCTCCCCAGTTCCAAATTTTTCCATCCACGGTTAATGCCACGGTGAAAAAGCCCCCACAAGAAACAGCAGCCACAGGCACAGGTAATGCTTTCACTTGGGAAGGAATGCTAAGTCCACCACCCTCATTTGGGCCACGGCCAGGACCAAGTCCCAATCTACCATCCCCTTCATCTCGACCCCAAGTATAAAGTTTGCCTACATCCAAGACATATCTACAAATTTTATACATAACATGATACCAGATAATGCTCTATTTAGATAGTGATTCAAGTTAGCAGAACAAAGTCAAATAGTAAAAATCAATCTAATATTTTCTATATTCTGGTTTACATCACCTTTTTTTTTTTTTTTTTGTCATCATCCATTAGTAATTACTTCTTAATATGTATATTTCTTCTAGTCATGCACTTAACCCAACCAACATTGGTTCTTCTATATAATTTGATTGCTTTCCGCAGTTTCCCGCAGTTTCGCTTTTCTTACTTTAAGAAGTTTCTCCTTCTTTTCACTTCCCTAGTGATGCGTGTATGGATTCGTACACTTATTTCCCCTTCTGCACCTCTTTCCTAAAAGTAACAAAACTATGCGGGAATACCATATTCCAATTAACAAGATGAGTTCGAAAACTAGCTTCAAGTAAGCAATTTCGTTCACACCTGATTCTGTAATGGCAGCAGTATGCGTGCCACTAGTTGCGATATGTCCTATTTTCCCACTCCATGAACCTTCCACCAATCTAGGAAACAGCTCTCTGTGATAAACAGAGTGCCCAAGTGCACCAAAACCACCATAACCCCTGCAAACTTCATTTTCAATTACACCACCATGAACTTATGTGAATCAACAACATGTGTACTAAGTTGATACAACATTACTAAATTTACGATTTACGTCATACAATCATATTTATGCTAATGCAAACAAATGAACAAAACGAAAGTGTTGAATGAATCAAAAGAATACTGACCAGGTGAAGACATCGCCTTGGGAAGTGAGCACAGCCGAGTGGAGCCCACCGAGAGCCACGGACTTCACCGAATCCAAATGTGGATTCAATGTCGGCACAAACGCAGAATTCTCGTGGCCAAAGCCTAGTCTTCCTCCGTCGCCTTTGCCCCAAATCCAGAGCTTACCATCAACGACCAACGAAGAGTGGAAGAGCCCACAAGAAATACCCACCTCCGTTAAACTCCCGGAATCGCCATTAACATCGTTTTTTGAGCTTCTGGGCAGTGAAATTCGACCTGGGGTGGGGGAGAGAGCGAAGGAGGAAGAGGGTACGAGGAGGTTGGCGAGTGGGGTCGGGTAGAGCCGGATTTCCTCGATTCCGCCGCCGAGCTGGCCGGAGGAGCCTCGGCCCCACGAGAGAAGCTGGAGGGTTGTCGTTTTGGTGGCGACGGCGTCGTTTTGGTCGGTGGCAGTGTCGGGCTTGTAGAGGAGTGGGACTTTGCGGCTTGTGGCGGTGGAGAATGGTGAGGCAATAAGACGGGTGATAAAGGTTGTACAACGCAGGTGGCAGAGACGGAGAAACGACATCGTATTGTGCCGGGTTCAATTGCCGAAGCAGAGGCGCCGCCGGGAAATTGGGACGACGCCTAGCAGTGAGAGGGGCGTTTTATCGTCCGGGGGTTTAGAAAGGGTTTACCTGAAAAATTATCCAACAAAAAAAGGAAAATGAAATTACTCAATTACCCTTAAGATTTTACACTTTGACGGAGTTCTCCATATTACAAATATTGTACAATTTACCTTTGAATTTTAAACTTTATGATTATTTTTTACAAACGACCTTCAAAATGTAACAGAATAAGGCATCGTTTAACTCATATTTAAGTTTAAAATTTGAGTTTTGTTATAGTAAAAAATTCTCAAAAACAGTCACATCTAACTTTTTTATTACAGTAAAAAGTTCTCACATAAAATCACATTTCAACTCGAATTAAAAACTCGAATCAACAAACTAAACGAGCCCTAATTAATTTAACCCCAATCTTTCACTACCAGTCCTTTCGTCAAAAACCCTCCGAAAAAAAAAGGAAATGCCTAATCATGTGATATGAGTAGAAAATTGTAAAAAACATACTTTGTTTTTGGCTCATCGAGAAACAAAATATAGTTCTTTGAGTTGTAATCACTTTTCAATTACTTTTTTAAAAGGAAAAAATAGAACCAGTTGCAAACACGCACTTTGTGCGTGCCTATTCAACATTTTTCTTTTTTTGATATGGAGGTCATAATTTTCTTTTGAAAATTTTATAGTTTATGCTTTTTATTATTGTTTTTTCTTTTTTGAAAATTGAATCCAATAGAAAAATATTGAATAGAGCAACATTAAAAGGAAAAAAGTCATTTGAGAACAAAATATTAAAGACTATTTATTCGGTATATATAGTAAAAAAAAGTATTTGAGAGGGTCATTTCGTAAAAAAATAAATTGATTAGGACATATATAAGAAGAAACTATTTCAATAGGACAATTAGAGGAAAAAATATAAATGAGGGTCACATTTGAGAAAGGAAAAAGAATGTATTGTAGAAGAAGAAAAGGGAAGGCAAGAATGTATTGTAGAAGAAGAAAAGGGAAGGCGCGCGGCCCGGCCCAAGCTCAGTTAGGCCTAAGCCCGGATTTGGCCCTTGTTCGGCCTGGCCCAAGCCCGTTAAAAAGCCCTCCAGCCCGTGAGGATTGTGACCGTTGGGCCCGCGAAGGGTCCAACAGTCACAATCTGAAAAAAGTCCCTAAAATCCACTATAAATACCCCTTAATTCCACCCTAAATCTCACACAACAATTCACTGTCAACTTCTCATCTCACTCTCATTCTATCTCTCATCTTGTCTTTTTTATTTTGATTCTAAGCTTTTCTCTCGCAATCACTCCTTTTCTTGCTCTTCCATTTACAAAGTTTAAGTTCAATCAATTTCCAGAAAATGGCCGCATCAAACTTTCCTGATTTCACTACTCTCTCGGAGCTTGGTGATGAGCCATTTTTCGTGGATAAAATGATGCCTCCCAACCCCACCCCCATTGAACTGGAAAATGCTTTGGTTGATAATGCTTCAGTGCACAACGAGGAAGTTGAAGAACACAGCAGCGGAAAAAGACCGCGAACTTCTCCAGCATAGCAGCATTTCACAGAGGAGCCCCGACCAAATCCAAAAACAAGTGAAATTGAAATTCATGTGCTATGTAAGTACTGTAAAAAGTACTTTTCTAATAAAAAGGGTGGGGCACCCCCAGGACACCACCAGGGCACCCCGGGGGACACCCCCAGGGAACCCCCGGGGCACCCCCCGGGAGACCCCTGGGGCACACACAAGACACAGTTGGGACACTCGCGGGACACCCCCGGGGCACTGCTAGGCCACCCCCAGGAGACCCCCGAAGCAACCCCAGGACACCCCCGGGGCACACCCAGGGCAACCCCGGGACATCCCCGCGGCGCCCCTGGGGCACACCCGGGACACCCCCGGCGGACCCCAGGGGATCCCCGGGAGGCCCTCGGGTCACCACCGGGACACCCCAGGGACACCCCCCGAGGCACCCCCGGAGAAACCCCAGGACACCCCAGAGGCAATGATTACGCCCAAATGTGTACAAAAATAAGCGGTCAATTGTAATACAAGTTGAACGGTCGATCCCACGAGGAGGTGTTAAATTGAACAAGAAACGACTAGTAAATAAAAAGCGTTAGGAAAGTAAGCAATGAAACAAAGAAAAGAAATAAGTGTTTTTGATTATTTTTTGAACAATTTAAAATGGAGAAAACTCAATAATAAAAAGTGGTAAGGCATTGAGAATCCTCCATATGCTTTGTTCACCTATTTGGATTTTGATTCATAAATTGACTCAATTGAAAGTTTCACATCCCAAACAATCAATCAGAAAATAAATATTTGAAGAACATATGAATTAAAAATGTATTCGAGTAAATAAAATTCTAACGTTTAGATTTAAGAAAAATTATCTTATGAGAAATCTAAGAGCAACAATATACCGTTGGTAATATTGCAGTAAAAGACTACTCATAAAACAATACCTATCAATATATAATATAATGCAACAATCACATAAAAAGAGCTTGACTAGATTTATATGAAAGTTGACAATAAAATATATTGATAAGAGGAAGAAATATGATTAAAGAAAATTATTTACTCAAATGTATAAAACTTACAAATCATTGGAGAATCAAAATCCAAACAAGTTCACTACACATATAGGATCATCTCTAGCCTAGCTTGCACATAATTCCCATAAAATTCTAAACAGAAAATATGAGACTAAGAACAAGAAGATGAGAGAAAAAAATGTAAAAACTTAGACTAAAATTCAACGACTTAAACACCTTGACATGGCCCTATTTATAAAGTTTTGGGCCATGCCAAAGGCTACAATCAGCAAAGACAAACGTTCTAAAATGAATTAAAATTTACAAATGATTAATTGGGGTGATAAAAACTAGAACTTAATGAGGAGTTAACATAGAAACGGTTTGAGGCTGAAGAAGAAACTTAGCACTGCACTCCTCAGTCAAAACAACGGACACAAACGGCTACAAAAAGGAAGAGCAAAAGACTAGGACACGTGGCGCGCGCTGATTCACGGAGAAGAAAGACTGTTACTATGCAGGGACACATGGCGTCCGCTGATTGGCGGAGAAGAAGAAGTGGCCGACAATGCTTCTGCTCGCGACACGTGGCGGACGCTGATTGGGAAGAAGCAGCACTCGGGACCCACGTGGAGAAGAAACGCTGAACGCCCTGACGTGCGCGTGAAGGAGACTCGCTCGGGAAACGGGCGGTGCGCGCCAAGCACGCATGCGCAAGGGGACAGGTGGGGCCCACGCGGATCTGCGACAAACAAGAAAGCGACACGTGGCGGGATGGACTGACGCGGCTTGGACGGCTCGAACGCTCGGCTGGCAGACTGGGCTTCTGATGGGCTTCTTAGTGGGCTGAATTGGGCTTTTCTTAGGTTCAACTTTTGGGTTTTGCTTGGTAAACTAGCCCAAATCCAATTGTTTTCTTCAAAAACCTAAAAAATAAAATAAATCCAATTAAAATTAAATCCTCTTAATTTAGGAATATTTGAAATTAAAATCACAAATTTGATAAAATAATTTGACAATTATGAACATTAAAAGTGTAAATTTGTGCACTTATCACAACCCCCAACCAGCTTATTGCTAGTCCCTAGCAATTCAAGCGAAAGAAAAATCATGTCAAGCTAAAAATCTAGATCAAAACTAGCAAAATCACCTAAGCAATCAAACAAAACATTAGTAAGTCATCAGGAAATGCTATCAAAACTACTTCAGTCATAACTCCAAAGTCGTGTGTGTGTGCACCAAACCGTATCCTTCTTACCACATTCCTTAACACAAATAGCATCGAAAAACTCACCAAGGTAAAGTCTCAACTCCATTTACCTCACGGGGAACGGAAATATTTTGATGCAAAGGGATTACGCTCATGGAGTTGGAAATGTTACAATTAACGCTCAAGTGAGAGAAGGCAATTTAAGGACAAGCTATTAAACAAACATTGATCAAATGATAAGCAAATCAAATATCTGGAACAATTCATCACTCAAACTGTAAACAAACTTTCAGGATTTCATTCTGGCCAAGAGGAAGATCTCATAAACAAACAAAGATCCGAAAATACAGACAAATATACACAAA